AGCTGGACACTCACCCTTGGTTGACCAGCTCGAATACTGTAAGGGAAGAAGGGGTAAACCGTCACATTGGGAGGAGAGGCTCCATCTGCCTTTCCTCCTCACCCCCTCCCCTCCTCCACCTCTAGCAACAGCGAGCAACACAGAACGCAGTATGTAGGGCCAGGGAGAGGAAAAGATACTCAGAGCCAAGGCGGCAAAGGTAGGAGGCCCCGACATTCCTGGGACCCAGTCTGGCTTCACCTCGAGCCCCCAACTGGACACAAACAGGATGGTGGGAAGAGGAGAGGGGCAGGTGAGCAGGAAAGGGCACTGGAAGAAAGAACGGGAGAGTGGGAGGAGGGCACGACGACTATTGGAGTCTGGAGGCAGAATCTCCCCTTAGGAAAGCCCCCCTCTTGCTCTTGCCTCAAGCGAGTGCTCGGTCACAGAACACAAGGCGGGGGAGGGAGGTCCCACGTGTTGGCCACACCACAAGTCACACCAGAGATTCCAGGCACCATGACTGATGCTACGGAATGTCCCTCAGCCAGACCCAGCTCCTGGGCCACCTGATGCCACCCAACAGGTCACAGCGGCACAGCCGCCCACATGTCTCCCGACTTCGGGCCCAAGAAGCTCATGATGGGGGCCTTCCTGGTCCAAGAAACAGCTAGAACAGGTCCATCACCCCCTTCTGCATTCTCAACACTTCCAGACCCTGCCAGGCCACGGCTGAGTGCTGCTGCGGACAGGACTCGTGCTCCTCGGCCTCTGGCCCCAACCAAGACCTGGAGTTAGAGATGGGGGGCGGGACAGGGCTTCCCCACCACCTTAAAGATCACCTCAACCATGCCCCCTACCCCCCACCAACCCACACACAAACGCAAACCCCTTCAGGGCTCACAGCACAGAGAGATTTCATGCCATGACAGCTGCTTACAGGGACACCACCCCCACCTCCTACCAAGTGCCGGAATAAGCTGTGTTCAGGGAAAGGGCTGGGGTTTTTTTTTCGTTGAGGTGAAATTCACCTAACATAAATTAGGGGTTTGGCAACAAGCACGTCAGTGGGGTTGGGTACATCCACGGTGTGCAGCAATCACCGCTCCAAAACAGCAGCAGCAGCAGCAATGGAGAGTCTGCCCCATCAGGCAGTCGCCTCCCACTCCTCCTGCCCCAGTGCTGGCAACCACTCATCTCCGCTGTCTCTAGGCATGTGTCTCTCCCAGATAGTCCATAGAAGCAGAAGCAGACGCTGTGGTGTTCCTTCGGTGTCTGCTTTCTCCCACTTCGCAGGCTGTGCATGGATGAGAACTTCACTCTGTTTCAAGCTAAGACTCTATTGAGCCCTAGTGGTATAGTTTGTTACTAATTCGCTAGCTGCAAGGTTAGCAGTTCACACCCATTGGCTGCTCCTTGGGAGAAGGATGAGGCTGTCTGACCCTGTGAAGATTCAGTTCTACTTGGTCCTATGGGGCCGCTGAGTCAGGATCAATGGGATGGTGGTGGGTTTCATTTTTTTCGGGTAGACATACCACGTTTTGTTTAGCCGCCCATCAGTTCATGGGCATTTGGGCTGCTTCTATTTTATTACTGTGACTAGTACCACCATGAACAAGTACGTAGATGCATTTGTTTCATTATCTGTTTTCAACTCTTTCGAGTATATAATGAGCAGAATTACTGAGTCATATGGTCAGGACTTTAAACCAGTACTAACTAAATCCGTTATAGCCAAGGGAACAAAACTGTCTAAATAATTTTAGAAATGTGGATGAAGCAGGGGAAAAGTCAGAATGGGAAAGAGCAGGGTTGAAGTTCTGGAGTGGGAGGAGCCTAGTTCCGGAGACTGGATGATTACCAGGAGCTACACGTGCAAAGCAATACATGATCGGCCACTATTTTTGTGTCGGACACCATTGTTGACAACTCTCTTGGTTAGGAGGCTTGGTTGCTATCCCACGCACACACTGCCCTTGTTTTCTAAGAGGGAGGATTAAGTTCCTGGTAGGGCTTGGACCCAGAAATTTCATCCACGTTTTACAAATCCGGGTCTGCTCCGGTACTGTTTCATGGGCCATGTCTGAACCCGGAAGAACGAGGTTGAAGCCCCAGATACGACACAGCTGCTTGAATTCCTTCTGCTGGAATAAACTGGGAACATAAACCTATAATTAACCAAAACCACTGCCAGAGTCACTCTGAGTTTTGAAAGCCATAAATTTTCACAGGAGCAGCCAGCCTCGTCTTTCTCCCTGGCAGTGACTAATGGGTTTGAACCACTGACCTTGTGGTTCCCGGCACAGAGTGTAGCCCACTATGCCATCAGGGTTCCTTAAGCTGTACTCCAGGAAGTGAAAAATCCTACAGTTGATTTCAAAGCCCCATGGAGAATGACTTGGGAGTTGCCTGTTGGGTCTGAAACCACTGAAAGGAGCATTAAGGTGCCCCAGGACCACTGAGTGGAGTCCAGGTCGTAGGGACCCTGTTGGGCAGGACAGACCTCCTCCAGGGGGTCTCTGAGGCTGTACGTCCTTATGGAAACAGACTGCCTCACGTTTCTCCCAAGGAGCAGCCCACCACTTAACCCACCGTGCCACCAAGGCTCCTGAGTAGCGTGGACACCAAAGAGTTGTGTAACGCTCTCTCAGGGCTATCTTAGGGTGCCTGAAGGAGGGAGCCCATCCTTCCAGAAAAGGCCAGAGGTTCTGACCAGACAAAGAACTTAACTCCACAAGCCTTCAAAATAAGAATAATAATCAGGGAGACGAGCCGTTGCTCCAGGCCGTGGTCTTCGGTAGAAAAGGCTGCGTGCCGGAGGTGGGGCAGGCTCCAGCCTTTCTTACCTTGGTTATTCATGCCTCCACTCGTGAAAGCAGTGGCGGGGACTCCTGTGCCTGCCTCCCGCCTCCCACGATCGTCGGTGAATCAGGAGGAGGGAAGCAATCTGTTTTAAGTGGGACCCTTTCCAGTCACTCAAGAGCCAACTGCTCTCCAGGATGGGAGTGGTCAGAGACTCACCCGCAAGAAATGTAAGCTTTCCCCCTTTTGAGGCTGGTCGGTGGTGACAGGACCCTTCCGGGTAGTTAGCAACCAGCGCTTCCACATGACCGTGTTTGTCCTTCTCACGCACGAAGAGCGGTGGATGCAAAGTGAAAGCTAACGGTGCCTGGGTCTTCAAAGCCGCTGAAATCACGGAGCCAGAATGAGCGTGGCTCCTGGAGGCACCATCACCCAGAGACGTTAAAAACATCTGTCCTTTGTAAAGCTATTTGAGGAACTCTTTTTTTTTTTTTTTAAATCATTCTCAAAACTCTCCAACAGCTCCTGGATGGAGTTGAGCAACGTCCCTTCAAAAGTCATGTGCACCTTGAACCTGTGGAGGTGATCTTTGCAGGGAGAACTGAGTTAAGATGAGGTCATTCTGATGTGTGTGTTTGGGGGCTGGGGGGCGTGGCTACAGCCAACGAGGAGAGGAGAGACAGGTAAGATGGTCAAGTAGAGACAGACAGAGATGAGAGTGGTGCTGCCCCAAGCCGAGGAAGCCTGAGCGCCACCAAGAACCAGGAGAAACACGAAAGGGGCCTCTTTAAGAGCCTTCAGAGAGCCAAAGCCTGGCTGACACCCTCAATTTGGACTTCTGGCCTCAAGGACTGGAAAGAATCCGTCTCTGGAGAGAATCCATCTCGGTGGTTTTAAGCCAGCTACTCCACCCCCCCTCTCTCTCACACACACACACACATACACACTCCTCTCTCACACTCATTCTTTGTAGAGCAGCCCTAGGAAGTTAAAACACATCTTTCTGTTCCAACTAGAATATCAGCTTCCTGAGAGCTGGGGCTTGCTCTTTCTTACCCACCAGTGCACCCTCAGTGCCTAGAAGGGTGGCTCACATGTACAAGGTACTCGATAATATTTGAAAATTAATAAACAGGAGGCCCAGATTAAACAAAAACCCCCCTTCCATTTCCTGCTTCAAACCAGGGCTCTGGTCTCTGGGGCATCCCCATGGGGATCCAGCAGGACACAGGGAGGGAAGGGCTGGAGGAGGTGGCTACCTCAAGGACCCTGGGCTTGGGTCCCCACGGGTGGCTAAGAGTGGACAGAAGGGCAGAGCTCTTACCCATATACAGATGGTCCTCATTGGGGTCATCCAGGACCTGTCGGCAGACATGGGGAACAGGCAGGCAGAGACAAGGAGGGAGAGAGAGCGTGGTGAGAGGGGGAGAGGCAGCTCCCTGACACCACGGTCCAGAGCCCTGTGTTCCCATGTTAGGAGGACGGGAAAGGGAAACATGACCTAGAGTCTGGGATCCAAATGGCCACCTGGGAAACAAGCACCTCCTCGCCCCCATCTTTAAGACCCCTGAATCCCCAGAAAGGAGGTCACAAAAAGGGAGGTGCCAGGAGCAGTGGCCCTGGAAGCCGATTCTGACTCCCGGCTTTTCAGAATAGAACTGCGCTCCATGGAGTTCCCGGGGCTGATCTTGCTGGAGTGGTGCACCAGGCATTTCTTCCAAGGTGCCTTTGGGTGCACGCCCCCCTTTCACCTCGTCAATTAGCAGCTGAGTGTGTCAGTTATGTGCACCACCCAGGGACACAGGGCACCTGGTGGGACTCGGAGGAAAAGAGTGTTAGCCCTGTAGGCAGGCTCATGCCTGTCGGCTGGGGAGAGGGAGGAAGCAGGGGCCCCTGCGGCCAGAGGCTTCCTGCCCTTGCAACAGGGCAAGGTGACAGTCAAAGCCTGAGCGAGCCTGCTGAGGGGGCTGTTTGTTTAGCGGGAAGAGAATAAGCCCTGAAGGAAGACAGAAAGGGTGAAGGGCAGGCCACGCATTCCTCTAGCCTCAACGTCTGCCCCTCTGAAATGGGGATCACGAAGGAGGGCCCAGGAGGGGTGAGGCCTACAGGAAGTCACAGGGAGTGAGAAGGGCCTAGAGCCCCAGCTAGTCCCACTTGGCCCTGCTCCTGGCGGGTGGCTATGTACTTGGCTTTTCCTGGGGTCCGGGCACCAGCCTCTGGGAGGAGCCAAGCCTGGGCAAGGGCATCAGCCTTCCTCCCCCGGCCTTGGGCTGCTCACCTCCACCAGCTTCACCACGTTGGGGTGGTCGAGCTTCTTGAGGATGGCGATTTCCTGGTACACCTGCTCAATGGGGCCCCGGGGCTGGATGCAGCCCCCTGGGGTCGGCCGGGTGCCTCGGGGAGGGGGCCGGCCTGGAGGAGACATGGAAATTTCCATAGGAAAAAAAAAAAGATTTTCTTTTTTTGAGATATAATGCACATATCATCATGATGATACATTTTAGTTTATTCACAAGGCTGGACATTCATCACCATTATCTACTTCCAGAACACGTTGTCACGGTAAGAAGACACTTTGTACCCACTGGCAGTCAGTCCATATCCCCTCCACCCCAGGCCCTCGTAATTGCTCATCTATCTGGACATTCCATAAGGAGCCCTGGAGGTGTGGAGGGTCAGGCGTTGGCCTGCTGGCCACAAGGTTGGTGGTTCACACCCACCAGCCACTCCGTGGGCGAAAGATGAGGCTGTCTGCTCCCACAAGACAGCTGCAGTGTCAGAAAGCTTCCTGAGGGTCCCTGTGCATGGGAGCCACTCCATGACAGGGGATGTGTTTTGGTTTGAACATGTCCTATCATGGAGTCAGCTGGGGTTCCCCCGGGGTCATCCCATGTGTCACTCCTTTGTATTGAAGGTAAAAAAATACACTGATCTCAACGTGATCCTGACTCATGGCGCTCCTGTGGAGGGGTGCTGAGACTGTAACTCTCTATGGGAGCAGAGCGCCTCATCTGTCTCCCACTGACTTTGAGGTCAGTAGCCCAAAGCTTGCCCCACGGCCCCACCAGGGGTCTTCTTTTTACAGCGGACTAATACCGCACCGTGTGGACAGACCGTGTCTAATTCTTTAGGTGATGGGCAGTTGGCTCTTCTGGCTCTGCTCCTGTGAACCAGCATGTACACATTTCGGAGCGGAACTGCAGGGGCAGGTAGAAATGTGTATGTTTTGAGGAACTGCCGGGCTATTCTCCTCTATTGGATATTTTTACTGGAAGCCTGTACGAGCTCCAAGAAGTATCGTAAGAGGAAAATGGATTGAGGATGTCAGCAGGGCCCAGTGCTATCGTGGGGGTATCCACCCACAGCGCTCTCCTGCCAGCCACCCAGCACAAGGTCTCCAGGGGTCACCATTTAGTGGGCTCTGCCCTGTCTTCCCCAGGATCCTGCCCCAAGAACCAAGGCCCCGGCCCCCCAGACTCACGCGGAAAGCCTGCCTGCCGGATCAGCTTCTTCTTGGACAGCACCTTCATTGCCTGTGGGAGAAAAGTCCCCGTACTTGGGTTAGCAGAGTGAGGAAGACAAGGCAGGGGCAGGTTCCCCAATCCTGTGGTGCCCACCTGGGGCAATACGGGGAGCTGGTAAGGCCCTCAGAGCTGTAGAGATGTGAGTGTGAGGGGATGGCTGCCTGGTTTACACCTGGCTTACAAACTGAGGTTACATCAATGCCTTAGGTTACAGAGCAGAGCCAGGATCTGAACCCTCTTCCGACCGACTGAGGTCTGAGGGCAGTGTACCCCCCACACATATACATACACTGTGCTCCAACTGTCGGGGATGGAGACACCACACAGCCCAGTGGGCATACGATGTGTTTGCTTCATCTCCCCATTTCCCACCTGCCGAGGGAACACCTCTTCCTCCGAGCTACCACACACAAGGACTGGCAATAGGACAAGACCACGGCTAGGACAGCCTTCCCCGAAGCCGAGGGCTGGGAAGGAGGCTTTTTCTCTGGGCTGAATGGGGCGGGGTGGGGTGAATAGGGCGACTCACATAGTAGGTGTTATCGTTTTCGTTGTAGGCCAACTTGACCACGCCGTAGGAGCCCTAGATGAAGGGAAATGCCCATGATATGCTAGCTACGCGTTAAGGTCTGCAAAATGAGGACAGCCCACCCCCACCCCCATACGGGTGCTAACCGGAGCCCACTGGCCAGGGCTGGCCTGCACTGGTGTTTGGCTGGACTCGCAAAGTTTGGACAAAGTCCGAATTAGTTGCCCAGATTGAACAACAGGAAGATTTCATTAAAAAAATAATAAATAAATCTGGATTCCCAGCTCCTTTAAGTAAAACAGCAAGAACTGGTGCTAGAGATCCCTGGCTTCCAGTGGGTAAAACCGTTTGCCACAGACTTTACCACTCCCTATCGCCTTACCGCAGCCTGCTACCGCGCTTCCTGTGACTCACTGGTCTACACGGGCCCTTGAATTTTTGTCCCCTTCCTGTCCTGATACTGCCCACTGGGGAAGTATCCCCTTGGGGAAGAAAAATCAACCGGTCACCGTGGTGGGGATACAGCCATCATCATGGGGACACGCAATTTCCCTGGAAGCTGGATTTTAGAAGTCAAACAAAACCACCACCAGGCCAGGACCAAGCTCTCCTACGCCGGCCCAGGGGCTCCTCCCCAACGCTTGCCAGGTCCCCTCCTTAGGCATCCCAGGTGGGTGTGGAAAGCAGTCAGGGCCCTAGGATAGCTACCTTTCCAATTTCATCCTTCAGCGTGTACTGATTCAGCTGCACGCAGTCCTGGGAGAAGGCGGAGGAGACATGGGGACAAGGCAGCATGAGTTAGCAGCGAGTGAGCGAAACCGAGAACACCCTTAGTCCCCGAGAATCCGACTCGGGTGCCCCCTCCCCACCCCACCCGGGCGCTCAGTCTCCTAGCTTCTAAGGTCAATGGTTCTGCTTCTTTGTTCCTTGTGTTCACAACGTGAACACCTTTCAAAGAGATCCTTTTACTCTGGTAAGACATGCCCGGGAGTGAGCCCGTCAACGAGGGCCATGTGTCAGCCGCCGTGGTCCTGCGTAGCCACACCCACTGTGCAGCACTGACTGCTAGTTCCAGAACATTCTTCTCAATGCAGACCACCCTCCATTCAGCAGTGACTGCTGTCTCCCAGGCTTCCCCATCGAGCCCCGGTTTGTCTCCTGGTCCCTACTCTGTGCCACTGTTTCCTGGGGGTCACCACCCTGCTCAATCGTTGTACCAGATTCCTTTCACGGGGTCCACTCCTGGAGAGCCCAGCTTCCTAAGGAACCATGCGGGGGGCGGGGGCCCAGGGGGAGACAAGGGTGGGCCTGGGGACCCGACGTGGTGGGCTCATGCACCTGCATGCCCGTGATAGAGACGTGGTGGGACTCCACGGTGGGCCTGCGAGGCGGCCGGGGCGAGGACTGTGGGGATCCCGCGGGCGAGTGGGGCAGCACTGGGCAGACGCAGCGCCCATTCATGTCCAAGTTGCCGCTGGCTGCCAGGCCGCCCTGAGACCGTTCCTGCAGGGACAGCTTGCGGGTGGCGAGCTGGGGCCTGGGGGCCTGGAGGGGTGGCTCTCGGTCACACTCGGTGACCACGATGAAGGACTCCATGCCCAGGCGCAGGCTCAAGGTCGAGAGGCCCTGAAGAGCCTCACAGGACTTCTGGGCTTCCCTGCTGCCGTCGCCACCCCCGCCCCCCAGCTCATCCTGGGGGGCGGCCTGGTCTTCACTGGGCTGGCTAGAGATGCATGATGACATGGTGTGCTCAAAGACCTCATCCAACACACGGGGGCACTCCCGTCTGCATGATCACAGGACCACCTGCAGAGAGAAGAGTCACTCACTAGGCTCAGGGGCAGGGGTGACAGGAGCCCCTTTCCCCTTGGCTGTTTGACACCCGACCGAAAAAAATCTTGTAAACCATGATGTGATTTGACCCCAAGTCTCTACAATACTATACTCTGCATATCCTTTCTCTTAAGAGACACCCTCCCACGCCCCCCAATCCGCTCTCTCTGCTTCACACCCTATCGAGGATTCTGAACACAAGTGCCTAGAACACAGACAAGAAAAATGAGGCTCACGGGCAAGAGATGACAGCCTGGGAAGCTCTCTGGGGCCTGTCCTACTGTGTCCTACAGGGCTATTCTGAGTCAGAATTAACTCAGCAGTAATGGGTTTGGTTTGTGAATCTTCATGGAAACAGACCGCAGGCCTTTCTTCCACGGCACTGCTGGGTGGATCTGGAAACCAACCTTTGGTTAGTGGTTTGTAGCCACCTCCCAGGACAGCCAAATGCCTGTAGACACCAAGTATAAGCAACCATAGCTCTCCGGCAGGCCCTACCGAGGGCCAGCTACTCCCAGCTCAAGCCAACTGCTGTGAAGCAAGGGATGGGGTAGGATCTCCTGACCCTCACATTTCCCCTCCGAAGAGACCCCCACTCTGAGATATCAGACGTATCTCCTGATTTTTAAACTAGTAAGTATTCCTTCTTCCACTGCCTGTCAGGGTTCCCTCCTGTGGTGGCCTGTGTGTTGCTGTGACGGTAGGAGTCATGCCGCCTGCACCACAGGGGTCTCCCCGGGCGGAGAGGTCTCGGTGGAGCTTCCAGACAAAGACAGACTAGGGAGAAAGACCTGAACACTAGTCAGTGAAGCACCCCTGGATCCCAGGAGAACATCATGCTCTGACCCCTTTATGTCAGAGAAGGCATCCAAGATCCACCCGGCTCCCAACAGCCGACGCAAACACAGCAACACATGTGGAAATGGGGCCACACAACATTTGTTCAGTGCCCCATAGTCACCATGGGTTGGGGCCAACTCAACAAGAATGATCAATTATTTCAAATACCGTGGCCTGTACCAGCAGACCAGTAAGACGGGGAGTCCCTTACCTCCGCAGGGACACAGGCAGGGCAGTCCAGTTTACAAAGCCTCGACCACACACCAGCACAACCACACCACCCCGAGGTCGTTGGTTTGCTTACTGCCACCAGGCTAAAGCAGGGAAACTGAGGCTCGACAGGGCAAAAAGGGGCTTGTCTAAGGTCCGCCTGTCCAAAGCCAATCCGTCCAGCAGTCCAGGTACGTGGCTAGCCCTCAGGTCAGTGGTTCTCCACCAAGGAGTGAGGGCTCAGGAGTCTCGTGCGAGGAAAGCTCTCCACCACCACTACCACCACCACCACACACACACACACACACACACTCTCTCTCTCTCTCTCTAAGGATGTATGAGGGGGGCTTCAAAATGTTCGTGGGAAAATGGAATACAAAAATCAACACGTCTGTGGGGTAACAGAATGAACGAAATGGAATTTTCCCACACGTATTTTGAAGTCCCCTGTCTGCACCAGGGGTGTCGATGATGTCTGAAAGCCAGGCTGGAGGCACAGCTGTGAATCAAATGCTTCCCTATGTCTGCTGGCACCACCACCAGACGGCAAGCAAAACGATGGGTTACCAAAGACTGACAGCCAACCAGTCTGGCAGCCCTCAGAAAGCCCAAGGTAGAATTGCCATAGAACGCAGCAATTCCACTCCTGGGCAGTGACCCCTGGGGACTGAAATCGTCTGCCCACAGAGACACAGGCACATGAGTGCCTCTAGCAGGATCCGTCCTAACAGCTGAGAAGCAGAAAGAACCCCAAATGTTCATCAGCAGACAGGCGGATCCGCCCCCCGTGTGGGTTGTTCACAGAGGGGAGAAGGGGTCAGTCGGAGACCCGGGCCCGCTGACCCCTGCGAGGACACGGATGGACCTCGAAGATTTGCTGCTGAGGAAAAGAAGCCAGTTACAGAAGGCCACCCGTGGCCTTCCTCCACTTCTGTGACAAGCCCAGAACGGGCAAGACTGCAGAGGCTGAGCGAAGAGTGGTGGCCGCCAGGGGTTGGGGAGCAACCGCTGTCTTGCAGGGATGACAGTGTTCTGAGCGACATTGAGGTGGTGGCTGCACACCTTGGCCGAGGCAGGAAATGCCAGGGAATTGCACCCTTTCACGTGAGGCCTGCTTTGATTCAAGAAATAACTTCCTCCCTCTCTCAGACATACGGGGAACTGCAGGCTCCTGAGTTTCACAAATCCTTCTCAAACAATGTCATGGAGGCTCCAGGAGTGCAGGGAGCCCACCGAGGCAGCAGAGGGTGAAGTCTCCACGCTGACCAAGAAGGGCTCTCGCCGGTGCCAAGAAAACACTGGGCACCACACGGTAAAGATTCCAGGACTGGACAGAGTGACATCTCTAGATACCGCTGGGTGGGAGAGGGGGTAGGGAAAGGAGGGAAAAAAAGTCTGATGGGAGCAGAAAGCTGGCACCCACTGGGAACCCGGTCTAAGGAGTGCCCAATGGCCAGAAAGACCTCCTGAAAGTGACCCCACCCCCCAGCCCTGGGTGCATGACCACATATGTCAAGGCAGAGGAACGTGCGAGGACACCGGTCACAGGAGGCGGTCAATGGACACGCTGCTCAAGGTCACCCATTGGAATGCGGTTGCTGGGCACCTCAGGGCCCCTTCAAACTCGGGGTGACCCCAGGAGAACTGCCCCACAGGGTTTCCTGAAGCCGTCGTCATTACAGGATGTCATTTTTCCGCCAGGGAGTCACTCAGTGGGTTCGAACCGCTAACCTTGAGGGCAAGCAGCTGAGCGCTGAACCACTTTGCCACAAGGCTGCTTTCCTAGCAGAAAGGATCGTCGTGACAGCACTCAGGTGTCCAGGTCTCTGGCAATGGGGAAGAGGCCCCCCTCCAGCACGGCTGGTGGGAAAAGATCTGGAAGCACCCGAGGGTGGGAAGTGTGTATGATAACAAAGCCTGCGTGCCCACATCCTCTGATTTAGCAACGTCGTACCTTGCTATTTATTCAACTGGACCAGCTAACGCGGGACGACAAGGATGTATGTACAAGATAATTCCAGTGGCGTGGTTTCCAATAATCGTTCCCTGGGGACTGAATAAACAAAATGAAGTACATCCGCCTGGGAGAAAAAGATGCATTTGTTTACAGAGCCAGGCAGCCCTCTGTGTCCTAATATGAATTAGCTCCCAGGCATCTGGCCTCCCCAGTGGCCTGATCTTCCTCCCTGAGCTGCCCCTGCCAGGGTGGCAGGAGTCCCTAAAAAGACAGCCTGGCCTGGCCGTGCCTGAGGAACAGTCAATGGATGAGTCTCTCTTGCCAACGGAAAAGCAATTGCTTATCGATTTCGATGGCAGACCAAGGACACCAGGCCAAATGCCCCGGAAAAGCAGTCTCCTTGGCCAGCTGGTGTCTGGCCAAGTCCCCTCTGCTCTTGGCCTCTGAGGTCTGGGGAGGTGGCTGGGTCTCAGGCCCAAGTACCCAGCCTCTGCTACACAGGCCCTTTAAAACCAGCCCAGAATCCTCTGACCGCTAGTGTTTGGAAGGCTAATTTAAGGTTCCAATCCAGAAGGAGTTGGTCAATGCTGAAACCAACAAGCACACCCCCCCACACACCCCCAAAAAACCAAACCCTTCACAGAAGTACCATCTTTTACGGAGCAGCAATGACAAACATCCACATGAACCCCAACAGTGTGAACAGCAATGGGGTAAACCGCTCAGCCCGCTGCAAGGAGGCTGCATGGGCAGGGGTGTCTCTGCTGAGTTGAATCTTCCTCAAGACACCAGGAGTCCAGAGCCCAATACCCCAAGCCCCAGCCCCAGGTCCTTTGGCGTGAAGTCTGAGCAGAGCCCCACCACGCCTCCACAGCACCCCCATCGAGCTCCCCTCCCCTGTCAGAGGGAGCCTAAACAGATGGGAACCACCAGACCCTTCCTGGAGCAGATGGGCGGGCTCAGGGCCAGGGTGCAGGAAGGGCTCCTTCCCCTGCCAGGAAGCCAAGTGACACAGCCCTCTAGGAAACTGCTCGATGTTTCCTGGGGGCCGCTTCCGCCGGCACCTGCCCCCCCAAATGGCCAGCTCCTGGCCAAAGCCACCCTCAGGAGCAGCACTGAAGCACGAGGCTTTGGGTGTGCCAAGGTCCCCTGAGGTTGCCTTGTCCCAGGCAGCATGGGGCAACAAAGGGGCCCGAAATAGCTCCAAGAATCCCTGCCGAGGCTGGAAAACGGGGCTCTGCTAGTCATTTCCTTTCCCTCTTCCCAGGGGGAAACTGAGGCCCAGGCAGGCCCTAAAAGACATGCCTCTGTTCTTTCCGCGACTCATTATTAGAGACCTACTGTGTGCTAGGCTGAGCTGGAGGGGCATGGAGGGCTGGCTGGTTGGATAGGGGCTGGTGGAACCCCTGGGACTCTGGCCTTAATGTCACTCTTTGGGTCTGTAACTTAACTCATGCCCACGGCTCAACTTCCAGCCAAACAATTGAAAGGCCTATAAGGGGAACAGTAACACCAGGGAGGTATGTACACCTTAGAGGAGCCCACCGTCTAAGATAAAAAGGGCAGCCTTTACCCAGGGGCAAAGTACAGAGGGTCAGCAGAGGAGGAGGGAGGGAAACAGGAAACCCAGGGGGAAGTGGGGTAATTCACGCCCCACTGTGGGGACTGCGAACAATGAAAAGAAACAAGCAAAAGGTGAATGAACTGCTGCCTTTTCTGCTCTATAAATCTTCCCCTGATTTACAACTTTTGAAAATGTATGCACACACATACGTGTGTATGTGCAAAAAAGAAAAAAAAGGGGGGGGGTAGATGTGCGACCCAGGTTTTTTTCCATCGGGAATTCTGGGACTTGGAGAAGAATGTCTCTCCTGCTGATGAACTTGAGGGAAAGTACTCGCGTGTACCTACCAGGGACTGGGAGGAGGCTGTCTCGGATTGAAGCCACCACAGGCCGAGAGGAGGCAACCGAGGTGAAGGTCTCACAGACATAGATGCTGCGCCTGGATCCAGCCGTGGGTCCCACCGGGGCCACTACCTTCCCTTTTAGTCTTAAGCCAGTTCACCATCGGTTTTCTGTCACCTACAACCACGGGTTCTGAATGGCAGACGAGGTGAAGATGACTGAGAGGAAGCCTCCTCCACCAAGCTCCCGGCCAGAGGTTTAGTCCCCTACTGCCGAAGGCTCCCGTGCAAGCCACGCTGCCCACCACGGCCCCTGACAAATGGGTAGCCTTCACCCTGACGGGCAGGCACAAGCTAGCACTTTGAAAGCCTTTTCCCCTAACAGGAGAGAAAAGGAAATCCAGGCTGGGGAGGGACACCCTGGTAGGGAAGAAACTGACAAGAGGAGCATCTACTAGTAGGTGGGGGGACAGAGAGCTAGCAAGAACGTGTACAACAAGGAGCAGCATGTTCTACAGTTGATTGTGGTGATGACTGCACGGCTCTTCTTTAAGATTTAAAACACTGAATTGTATGGCATGTAAATGATGTCAATGAAACTGTTAAAATGAAATGAAAGGTTAAAATGAGGTGGCATACCTTGAATCTGGCTTGGTTTGACCGAAAAAAATGTGGGGGAAGCCACTAGGATGCTAGCTCCTATTGCTGAAGGCCTGGCGTCAGGAGACCCTAGTCGTCACCTCTTCCTGTCTTGGAACACTGAGCAGTTCCAGTTGCACTAACTGTGCAACAGAAGCCTAGTGACAGTAGGAGGGCTCCGCCAACCCACAACCAGAGGTCCAAACCAAATACCAAACTCTGTCATCAGCCAACTCACAGCGACCCTGTAAAGGCAGACCTGCTCCAGTGGGATTCCCGGACTGTAACTCTTGACGGGAGTAGACAGCTCCATCTTCCTCCAACTCGGAACCATGGTGCCTCCAGGTTCAGGCTTTGTAGGCCATTGGGATTTCTGTTACAGCTACTCAATCCTGTCTGTGCGTGAAAAGTCAACACTAGTTAAAACAATAGGTTGTTACATGGAGGTGGCCAATCAAGCTCGCCCTACAAACGAAAAGACGGAAATAGACAAAAAAACAAATCTACAACTAGGAGCTGTGGCTACATTCCTCTCTGATGGAGACATGGTCAAGGCCAGTCTTTTCAGGGCTTACCCATATCAGGGACTCTTCTAAGCACGCGACAGGTACAATAACCTCAGTTAAGCAGGTCCTGCTAGGATCTGTCTCACCAGTTAGGAAACTGAGGCACAGAGCACCCGAGTGACTTGTGCAGGACCGCACAACTTGCCCACCATGTGGGCAAGGAAACAACTTGCGTTCAGAGGGTAGTTTCCTCAAGAGAACAAGGTGATTAGGATTCCGCTCTCTACCAGACCCTGAACCTTCCCTAGCGGTGCAACCTTGGGAAGCGGTACAAAGCTAAACGTGCTGGGGCGTGCACACAGACTCACAGACCTGTGCTGTTGCCAAAAGGGGCTCCAGAGGTTCTCAATTCAGGCCGCTCAATTTGCCTGCATTTAGTGATAACAGTAGTTTTTATTGATCTTCCTCAACATCTTATGTCCAGAGAGGTCTCCTTCACAGAATCACACTCAGAACTTCAGATCCTGGCTTACCAACCGGTGTCCTAAGAACGCACGCACACTGATGCAGCTGTCCTGGCTCACCTGGGAGTAGCTGCAGACACGCTGAGGTTAAGAGACCTCACCCAGCAGGTTGGTGGCTGAGCAGGGACTAGAACCAGGTATCCTGGGTCCTACCGCCCACCCCGTGCTCATCCCTCTAGCCCTCCACATGACTTCTCCATGGAGGAACCACACCTCAGTCTGGCTATTTGGCCATCCTTAACTGTCTGATACCTTCTTGGATGGCTCTTGCTACTTTGTGGGGACATATCTGAGCAAGGCTTCCAGGTACCTGGCTACCCAGCCTGGAAAGGAGCGAGGGAAAGAGAGAATGTGGGTTACACAGGTGTATCTACAGGTATGGGAGGAGGGTCGGAAACATCAACTACCTGGCTCCCACGACTCCACGCCCGCACCTCCTCCCCCTTCCCTGCCGTTAGGAGGTGATGCTGGGTTGAACTCCCCTCCCTTGAGCACCAGCACACAGCAACACCAGCTGAGGGGGCCAAGTCTCACACCTGGACCCGCCCCACTCAGCACCCAGCAGGGAGGACGATCAGGACCAGCCTATGTAAAAACAGAAGGCAACACCCAGTATCCCTTTAAGAACCCCAAAGGAAGCCTGTCTTGCGCTCACCCGCTGCCCACCCCTCCCCACCCAAAGAGCTGGTTCCTCATTGAACTTCTCCATCTACAAGCTGATCTGGGCACCGCCAGCCAGGCCCCTTCCTTGCCCACTCGGGTCCTCCCCATGCTGTCCCATGGGCAGGGGCCAAGCCCTGGGACCTCTGGCCTGTCTCCTCATTTCCTCAGGGTCCCCATCCACCCCAGGGCTCCAGGTTGGAATGTGTCCTTTTATCTCTGCCACTGCCATCCTCACCACTATTTCCAGAAGCCGTAAGATAAAAAAAGGCAACATAAAAATAGTTGTTGGGCAGCTCTCCGTGGGGGTGGGGGTGGGCGCACAGTGGAATGTGAGAGCGCTTCTCCTCCTCCTGTGAAGGGCCAGGAAGCCTCTGCCTCCGGCCCCTCCGGACTCCCTGACATCCCATCTGGAGGCCGGGAGTTCTGGGGGAGTCCCAGTATCCTAGGGCTGCTTGTCAGGGGTTGAGAGCATGCTGACTGAAGTTTCTGGGGCCAGAGCTCAGTTGGAGCCCTGTCTCCACCCTCTCCTGGACTCCTGCCAGCCGGCCCCAAAGGCAACAAAACTTGGGCTTCCCCCTAAATGTCTCCGAATTGGGAAAATGATTCAGAAGGCAAGACCACAAAACAACCAAAAACTGGCAGCTGGCAGAACTCAGGCCCCATTTTAGTCCCTGGTGTGCACACACACACCATACACACCCGCTCGCAGGCCCTTGAGGGCCCAAAGGACTCCCCAACCCCCCACGCCCCACCCTGCACTGGTTTGACTTCTCTTGAGGATGGTGTCCAGTCAGGGGAGAAAGAGAAAAATTAAGAAGAAACATGAATTCAAACGCATTGATGTTACCAAATGACACACCTGAAACTGTTGACTTGGCACGTGTTGGGCCACATACATTTTTATACCCACCACCAAACACACACACACACACACAGAAGGTGGGGGGCGGAGGGGCATGAGCTTCTCCTTCAGACAGGAGAACCACTGGAAAACTATTTTCCAGTCACGAGCTCCTAAAGGGGGGCAGGGCTGCAAGGAAAGAGGCTTCACAGGCCAGCGAAGGGGGGGAGGGGGGGCTGGGTCAGAGCAAGGTGTTTGTTCTTTTTTTTTTTTTAATGAAAAACGCCTCCCAGGGAGCTGTGGACAAGGGGAAGTGTATTTTTGTGTGCATAAAAACAGGAGAGATGCATTTCAGTTACGTGGTTAGCTGTCCTTCAGTTGGCCCTGACCCATAGTGCATGGCACGGGAATTGAACCCAGGGAATTGCACAGGAGGAGAGCGTTCTACCACAAAGCCACCCCTGGGCCCAGGAGCTTTCTGTTGTCTGGTGCTGTTCAACTCAATTTCAAGCCACGGCAACCCCCACAAGGCTGCGGCGAGCTGTCCTGTAAGGCTTTCTAGGCTGTAATCTTTTTTGTTTCCCCTCCCTAAGCAGTAACCTTTATGAAGGCAGCTCTCCAGAAAGTTCTGCTATGGAGCCCCTCCAAAAAAAGCCAAACAAAACCTTCACTGCCATTGAGTTGATGCCGACTCACAGTGACCCTACAGAACTGTAGAACAGGGTAGAACTGCCTCGGTAGAGTTGTTGGAAGCCCCGTCTTTCTCCCACGGAGCAGCTGGTGGTTTTGAACTACTGACCTTGTGGATCGCAGCCCAACGAGTAACCACTATGCCACCAGGAGTGGCATCCCTGGTAGGTTCAAACCACCAGCCTTTCTGCCAGCAACCAAGTACTTAACTGTTGTGCCACCAGGGTGTATTACTATTATTATGGTAAAGAATATATAACAAACTAGGTGCCATTTCAACATTTCTCACAGGTACCACTTGACAGACTACCCATCCCGTGGAACGGTTTGACTCCCTGCGACCCTACGGGACAGAACAAGCTGTGAATCTTCCTCCCGCTGAGCAACTGGTGGGTTCAAACCGCTCACATTCTGGTCAGCAGTCCAGCGCTAAACCCACGGTGCCACCAGGGAGCCTGATGTACAATTTAGTCGTATCGGGTTGTACAGCCGTTAACATGATCATTTCCAAGTTTGTCCATCACGCTGGACAGAAAAGCTCTGTTCATCACTGGGCTCAGCAGTAAGACCCATGGAACGAAGCAACGAACACGGAAATTCAGAGAACGCCGGCCCAGTGCGAAGAGCACAACCACCGTGACTGAACCAGATGCATATACAAGCCGGGAGTGGGGGCCTGTTTGGCCGTGTGCGCGCTCACTAAAAATACCAGACACGAATGTTTTTTATCGCACCCACGCATGACCCCAAGACCAGAACTAGCTGGTGCTCAGCTACCACTACTGACGGCTCTGAAAAGGTGCCCACAAGAAGGTGCTGGCTCAAGGGGGAGGAAAATGTGGAACAAAGCCCATATTATGAGAGACCAGGCTTACCGGTCAGACAGATGGCTGGGACCCCCTACACGGTGGCCCTTTGCACCATCAGGTGCAGATCTGGAACGGAAGTCAGCCCATGTTAGAAGGCAGCAATCGTCCAAGGGCAAAGCGCAGAGGGAGAAGACAGGAGGAGGACAGGCAGGGAGGAAGGGGGATCAGTGACGGTCCATTGAGGGGACTGTAATGCAGTTGAAACAAAATGTATATGAACCGTTGGAAGGAAAACTGGCGGTCTGCGCTGTAAACCCTTCACCCAGCTCACACCAACAAGTTAAAATCGACCTTTTTAAAACGCCAGCTGGCCACGTGCAGACCACAATCTCCCCTCCGGCCCCCGGTGTGTGCACGGAGCTCCTCTGGGTTGGTGCTCTGCCCACGTCCCCCTGGCCATTCCTGGAACAGACCTCCAAGCACCCAGGTGGCTCCGAGTGGCCGCGGGGCTGCAGCCGGGGCTGTGTGGTGATGCTGGCACTCCTCTGCAGATTGACTTCCCTGGACGGAGCCTCACAAACCCAGGGGGGACCTGTGAGAGCTGGCCCTCAGGCACTGCCTGGCTCTGCCATTTTCCACAGCTGACCAAAGGTGGGTACTCCCTAAAACCTAGGCTCAGGAAGCTGCCCTCCAGATGATTTCTAGAACCATCGGTCCACTGCAAGATCCTGCTGTTGGAGTGACCTTATCCAGGTACCTAACGGGGAAGGACTCTTGAGAAAACCCACTGCCACAGAGCCGAGTCGATTCCCAGGCAGCTGGACCCTGCCTCCCGCTGAGACCAGGTAACCGGCTCCAGAGGGTTTCGAAGGCTGTCAACTTCACGTTGAGGAATGAGGTGCACCTGAGCCAAGGCACGAGATTCACCGTCCCTCCGGATGCAGGTGAGAGTTGGATAACGAATTTAGAAGCCCATGCATTTGAATGCACGCTGTCGAGGATGGATGCTCAGGGTACCCCAGACTGCCTGAAGAACAAACACGTCTGTCTAGGAAGAAATACAGCCGATGTGCTTCGTGGAGGCGAGGCTAGGGCGACTTTATCTCACCGACTTTGGACATGTCAGGAGAAGCCAGTCTCTGGAAAAGAACATCCCGTCTCGCAAAGTGGAAGGTCGGTGGAGAGGAAGCCACTCAGCAAGACAAACTGACACAGGGGCCGCAACAACGGGTGCCAAGATAAAAATGACTGTGAGGGTGCGGCAGGGCGGGGCCGTGTTTTACTCTGTGGTGCGCAGGGTGACTCGGACGGAAACCCTTCAGCAGCATCTGCAGATGACCACGACGATGACCATGATCTGGACGGGCT